GTGAATAATAATGGTTTGTTAACCTCGACAAAGGAGGTTCACCAGGAAACGCTACTCATCCCCGGGATGTTGATGTGAACATGAAAAGTTGCAGATTCAGGAACCACTGAAAGAGGGCGCTATATACACGCTCAGTAAAACTAATGAAAAGAGACTCAGAGTTTTTATGGTTCAAGCAGTAATATAGGTTCATGTATATTTTATGGTGGTTCCACAAAGACTATTTTTCATCCTTTTTATCAGTGGGGAGACCGTAATCTAATAAAGAGAAATAGCGATTCACCTCCTCACGGGCCCACAGTGATAATATATGTGGTGCCCCTGTATTGACCCCGGGGGAAGGGGTGCAGGATTCCTTTACAACTTGGGGTCAATTTTCCTGTATCCAGCTCCTCTCCGTTCTCTGCGTGACAGTCCTGACTGCTGTTTAAGGAGCAAAATGAAGAAAATGTAGCACACTGCCATAGAAAAAAATCATTAATAATAATAATAATAATAATAATTAATTAGAATAGACAACAGGATAAAAAAAATGGCAAATTGAACAGTCTCATATTTTGGGTTTTCAGCAATACCGGTAGAAGCAGGCGACTTCATGGCCGACGCCCCCCACCTCTCCACCACTATCGCATGGCTCTTCTGTCATGGCCCCTCAGGGCCTGAGTAGCCTGCTTCTCAGGCCACGAGTCAGCTAATTGTTGGGAATGGTTTGCACTGCACGCAGGTGAAATCGGAGCCCCAGAGAAGCTGCCGTCCCAGGCGCTCGCCTGTATCGCCTTCGGAATTCACCGTAATTGGTTTTCAGGGCTTCTACACAGCGATGCAGACACAATGCGTGCGGTTACAGCCCTGTCCGCTAGCAGGTGAACTGCGGCTCCCTCCGCTGACGCTCCCTGGTACACCATGTGGCGGCGTATCTTTCACTCAGCGCTCACGGCATGAGAGAACAAATTTTACAGTTTCAGCGCCCACCTCCCTGTTATGATTGCAGGGCATAGCTAATGTATCTTTTATAAGCACAAGCAGATAGCAGGTTTATCCAAAAATAAAGGACAACAGGTACATCGGTTTAAAAGAGCTACCACCCCTCATCCCTCCACACTCACTTGTTATTTGCACAATAATCCACAATGCTGGATTCCCACAGTTCCATCATTTTACACTTCAGAAACGTGCTGGATTTAATGAATGATCAGAATAGCAATATGCACCAAGCTCACATTAATTAGGTTTGTGATGAAGCTCCGCATCAATAGGAGTCGGTCAGTGTGAACAAGGATTGCAGGTGGAGTTCCAAGATGTGGGAATGTGCAGAATTTATTTATGACCAAAATATGTCTGTCTGTTAGCGTTGGCTGCTCTACCTGTAAACAAAGCAATGGAGGTGTAGACCACACTAATCCTAGCAATGCATCATGGGATAATCACATTACCTGATGTCTGTATGAGAATGTTGAGCATTTGCTGCCTGTGTTCTTCAGGATAAATACAGCTCTGAGATGGAGATGGCTGCCTTGCATTTTTGCGATTGTGCCAATGTTTCATTGAGTTGTGATAATGGCTATCAATGAAATACAGCCATTGTTGCTATCTAAAAACATGCGAGCTGACTTTGCTCGTGTACAGTTTGCAAGTGAACCCACAATCCCACAGACCAATTATGTTGGCGGCTTTGTCCAGCCTGGATGGTCAGCGGGCGTTTTGCAGTTGGTGTCATTCCTGCTGAGCGCCCGGCCAAGATAAGTTAAGTGTGTCGGAGATGCTGCATTTGATGTAGGACCAGAGCTTAAATTGGGGAAATCTGACATAAACCCTTAGCAGTGAGAATTCAGGGCTGACTCTGGGCTGTGACTTGGGGACAGCGTAAGGTGCACACTCTGTTAATCCTTTTGTGTCTCTTCACACTCCAGCGTGAAGTAGGAGATGATCAGATTTCAGATGGTCTGTGGTTTTAAGCAGATGGGTGGTGAAGGACATGACCCATTTGTGGTATGGGTCAGGCTAGTACTGGCACTGGCCTGGTCAGCTGCACGGTGAAGCTGGCAATGGTGTGGGTCACTGGGGACTGACACGGTTCCTAGCAGTGTAGGACAGCGATGCTGAGTGCATGTGCACTACTGGCGTTTAAATTCCCCTTTGGAAATTTGATGGTGAATTATTATATGAATCCCTCTCGGCTAAGCTGAGATCTGGCCTTGACTGACCCTTGAGATACAAGTGCCCTGCCGTGACGTCCTCTCCGCATCGCGTTTGCCACACTTTTCTTGAAATCCTGTGTCAGATTGGATTGCTGTCGGCATGGTAACTGCAGCCTAAAATTGCCTTTTTGAGAAATTGAAGGCCACTGGGTCACATAGATGGATGTGGAGTATTTTTGATAATGCGCTTATTTTACAAAAAATGCTCCATTATGATAATTGAGACAGACCTGCGGCCATCACTCACTCTGTATTGTCCTTTGGCGATCCATGGGCACTCAGAGAGATTATGCATCGCTGTCACTCAAGGGCACAGTTATCAAGCTCCATCCCGACCCATGACAATAGAGCGAGGCTTTCCATGTCATGAGTTTAAACCAGGGGTGGACAATGCTGATCCTTGAATGCCGGTATCCAGCAGGTTTTCTGTTCTACCTGTTGAGTTATGATCTGTCTGAGATCAGGTGTGGTTCATCAAAGACCAGGTAGAATGGAAAACTTACTGGATAGCGGCACTCCAGGAGAAGGTTACATGGCCTGATGAGCTCGAGGCCCTCAGAGAGTCAGACCCATTTGGGGTAAGATGACAGGAATCCTGCTCCCATCTGTAAGAATCATCCATGTGTTGGGAATCGCAGTTGGACCTTTAAATATAAATTAATGATTTATATAAATATATATTAAGACATTCCATGGCTGCCTTGCCTCCCCCTGGATCCTTGCCTGATAGGCTGGCCATCTCACCCTCACTGAGTGCTGTCTTCATGCCCCCTCCCTGCCCCCCAGCTTGGAGCTGATCTGTGTTGCCTTGTTTTTGTGTTTCAGGCAGCCTCTGGGGTCTTTGTCTTCTTTTGAGCTATAATAGATATGATGAACCCCCCCTGCACCACCACTGCTCGGGGTGCTGTGAGCTTCTGCCTCCTTCGTTCATGACCACTCCAGTGGCTTGAAAGGGAGGCAAAAATAAGCAGCTGGCCTTCCGGAACGGTCGACCCGGCGTGACGCGTTCCCTCACTCCCTTGGGGCCATGGTACCTCTAGGGCAGCCAAACCACCAACCCGGCCGGAGCCCTGGATGCTGTTGCGTCAAGCCTGAGCTCGTTAGCTTGTTAGGTCTCGCGCCGGAGCTCGTTAAAGCCTGAGTTCCGGCAATCCTGTCAGTGCCGTCTCACATCTGGGTCCCCATGGCAACGCGGCTCCAGCCAACCATAGGTGGGCTCTGGATCCTTTCAGACTCCACCCCTTTCATCAGTGTTGAAGCCTGATGTGGGGTTTGCAGTTCCCAGTACAGCCTTGAAAATGGGCTTGGTGGTTGTAGGGGGTGTGTACAGAGGAGTGAAGCTATGGGTAGGTGATGTCAACATCTACTTCACCTGCCCCCATTATAAGGTTAAACTAGGCCATGATTGACAGCTCAGAGCAGGTCCCTCCCTGGATTTCAAGCCATGGTTCTCCCATCACCAGTTAGTGTTACTAGTTGTTTGATTGAGTTTTCGGGAAATTACTTACCCCCTGACAGTGACAGCTACCGGAGTGATTTTTCCACTCCCATCCCTCTTCCCAGCGTGTCACCTTTCCTGAGTGTAGCCCCACAGTCATGTGAGAGACTCGCTGTCGGGTGTCATGCAGTTCCTTTCATCTGTCCCTGATGATGCCTCCCTGGCTTTTCAGGTTCTGCCACTGCTCCAGTTGTCTGAGCTGGCATTTGACAACTTCTGTGCTTCTGTCCACCATTTTTCATTTACTGAAGCTCATCTTGTAGGAGACTCTTGGTGCCCATTCGGTCAGGTGGTAACTTGATTGAAGAAGTTAGGAGTCGTGAACTCCCATTAACGTCAGTCGGTTTCTTTCTTGTTCCCTTGATTTGTCAAAGGTATGAGGCAGCTGACTCAGGTGTTGTGATGCGATGTGCATTGTATTGACCAACCACATTTCAGTATTGAGTCATGTGACCCCTTCATGGGAGAAATTTGGTGTCATGTATTCAGTTGGGGGTTAAGAGCATATGGTTGTGAGAGTTTAAGACGGCTCAATTAACCTCAGTAAAAAAAGATTGATGTCCTGGTTGTTCCCTTTTTATGAAAGGTCGAGTTTGCTTTGTTGAAATGTCTGTCGGCACGTAAAGTGAAATACTCCTGGCCTCGGTGTCGATTCAGACCCCCCTGGCACCCCCTGAGTATGCCTTCACATGTGGGCTGGGCAACACCTACAAAAATACTATGCCATATTTTAATTAAAAAAATACTGGGATACACGATAATATTGAGTCATCCAACACTACCCTCCAGCAAACGCGCATGCATGTAGCACCTAATTTTTTTACCAAAAGGAAAATGTGAAGGCATGAAAAACCAATAAATGAAACAACCACTAAATAGCTGCTGTTAAAACATGCTGACTGGGGGGGGGGGGGGGGAGCAGGGGTTGCTGATTAGCGGTTATATTTTTTGTCTTTGTGGAAAATGATCGATCGACGGGCCGGATTTCATTTTGATTTAAAGCATGTTTCAGGTCATTGTCAAATATCTTGCAGGAGCAGCTTCTTAAAACAGGTCCTGCACACTTGGTATGTAGCGTAAGCTTTTCTCCGCAAGAACAGTGGTAATAATAGTCAGATATTGACACTGGCTTACTTGTCTGATATGACGATATGATCAGTAATCAGTATCTCCCAGCCCTAGCCCACACCCCCACTGCCTTCCTTTCACAGCCTGGAATTCACCACGATGGGGTGCACATCCAAACACACATGCATATTAACGCTGCACACGCACATTGTGATTCCAGACTCGGAAGCACCTTGTTGACAAGGAAACGGTACACTTTATTATTACTATTCTCTCCAATTACACGTCTTGGCAGTAAGCAACAGATGCAGTATCCCGTAACACTGGAATGTAGAGATTCTCACTGTAAGGCGCATAGGTGACAGCAGAGCTGTGGTGGGGGCAGCATGGGGGATCACTGGGGACTGCCATAGAGTGAGAAATCTAAAACGTTGTGTTTTCATTTTCGGAGGCTCCAGATTCTGTTGCCTGTGTTCCCATGACACCGCAGTGTGCTTCCTTAAAGGAATGTCATTCATAAGCATTCCCCTTTAATCTGTAATGAAAGGGAGCTTGTGGCCCCCCAGTCGTGATGCATGCAGGACACCCAAAGAGAGAACTGGACACTCGTGCAAATTCATGGGCATCAGAGTAAAGGAGCAGAGAGATAATCAGATGAAACGTGCGTCTTTGGAGGAACTGACAAACACCAGGGTGGTTTCACCGTGTTATGACCACAGCTGCATTAAACGGAATCGCCGAGACCCACTAACATTGCAAAGGACTTCCATCAGAGTACAAAACAGCGACAACGGCGTTACAGTAAGCCATACCCTTTGAGTAGTAAGAAATGAACCGATGAGAGCTTTCCCCGTAAAGGACGGGACGACATCCAGCCACGAAAAGCCATCCGCCACCAAATTGGCCAGCGAGCGTCACGGAGCAATTGTGCTGTGAATGGGGCACCTCGGAAATGGTGGGCAAACTGCGTGCAACACCAAAGGTCAACCACTTTGCACGTGTGTGCACGTAATGGTCAGTATACACACAACCACACACGGTCACAGCTGGCAGCAGGAACGGGACCCAGAGGAGCAACCGTGATGATACAGCCATCGCCGAATGGACTGAGGTGAAGTGGTAACCTCAAAACACAAAGCAAAACGTTAGTAACAACAGCAATGATCATAAAAGTATTTAAAAAAAAAAAAAAAAACAGGAAAATTCTGACTGCAAAATGTTCACGGTGGTGCTGGAATGGAGGGGCGTTCTGGCTGCATGTGAGGAGCCGCTGTCAGGCCTGGACACGGTGCTGTAGGGGGGTCGAAAACCGTCAGTCTCCCCACCATCTGGCCACTCAGAACTGGCTGGCACTGCTGGGGTCGCACTGCAGCAGCCGGACGATGGAGGGGTCACTCTTGGCACCTTTGATGAATTCTTCTAGGGAGAGTTTACCTGTCATGTGAAATGGCGGCACGGTTACCACGGAAAGCCCTGCATCACTGCGGGACCTCACTTTATAAACTGAACATCATGCATTTTCCGTAATTTGTCCTTCAAACTCACTGTCCACCACTGACAGGACAGCTGCCATTGCAAGTGACCAAGTTGCTACACAATGGGTGTTTCTCAATACCAAGCGCAGTGTATCGTAGTTTGGTGAGGATGCAACTGATGTATCCTTGATATTTGGGGCGGGGCAAGAATGGCTAGGGATTTTTACTGTCTTCTGTACTTCTGTTCTTAGTATTGGAACTGGTCTTCGGCATCGGAAGATGATATAAAGTGGATACGCGAAAACACAAACACTGCCAATTTTAGACAAGTATGGTCAACACCTGAAGCCTCATCAAATCGCCACCCCTATAATGAGTGAGGGTGGGGGGGGGTGAAGCCATGCTTTGAGCATGCTCAGTCTGCATGGGAGAACAGCCTGCCATGGCACATGACTCTGTACGCACTGTGTATGCACCCCCTGTGTACTAACTCTTCAGTGTTACAAGTTTTGGGTGCCACATACTCTGAATCTGACAGTTTTGCTGGTTTTAAGGCAACTTATTCAAACTTAATCAAGCCTAATTAAGAGCTCAGCGAGAATGTGTTTTACTATCTACTGTTTCATATTTCATCAATTCCAAGAAAAAGAGTGACATTAGTTTTGTGATGTATCATAGCAGAGCACTGTTGTTGGCTGTGTGTGATTGGCTGGGGTTACGACCTTCTGTTGTTGGCTGTGTGTGATTGGCTCGGGTTAAGACCTTCGCCGTTTGTCTTAGCTACTCACCGTCATTGTTAGTATCCATCTGTCTGAAGATCTTGTCCGTCCGTTTCTCTGGGGTGGACTCATCCTCTGGCATTTTCATCACCGAGGACACCATCTTGTAGATCGCCTGAGTGAAGATTGGGGGGGGGGCATCAGCATGGGATAATGGACCCGGGGCTTCAGGAATCCCCAGTGTGCATTGGTGACGGCCCATGGCTGTGGCCCGTGAACCAGATCGTCACACGCATTGAGTCCTGTGCCTGTCCCTGCTGACTGCGGTCGCCTGACCGCTGCCCCCTTCAGCTGGATCGTCGCAGCATGAATCAGGCAGAGTTTAGTCTCACTGGCTTTGTGACAAAGGAACAAAGTCCTGAGTCAGAAGATGTGGGCATGCTCCAATGTCACCTGGAGCGTGTAACCAAATGAGAGACGAGTCGCTCAACCTGGCAAGCATTGGCACATATGGACAGGAGAATGGCACAGAGCTGTGTGTGGAAGTGAGACCTGATCCTAGGTGGCGATCCGGGGCATGTGATGCCTTATTCGCCTCAAAGGTAAGCGAGCGAGTCATGTCCAGTGTCATGGTTAGCTGCAGTGAGTTTGGAGGACATAATAGAGCCAAGTTCTTAAAGGTGTGAACCAGGAACACAAGCATGGAAACTGCTGGAAGCCGGCAACGAGCTGATCTGTCGGTCATGTGCTTGTCACACAAATTGAGTGCAATTTTGACACAGTGCTAACACACCCTTCCAAGGTTGGCTTTGGTCTGAGGTTTCTGGGCAAGCCTGCAGCACTGCAGACTGGGCTGAACATGTTTATGTCCCTGTTTAGTACTCTGGACCTCGCCTGGAAGTACTTTCCAGACTTTCAGAGCTGTTCTTTTGAATCTCTGGCAGATTTGTTTGTTGGGTTGGATTGAAATGTCTTGCTGATTACCTTCAAAGGGGCCGCTTGATGTCTGTCTGTTCTGTTGTTTGTTAAGAGCGTACTGTGTTGCGTGTATATTGGTGAACCGCACACATTGTCACGGTGAAGCAAGATACCATAAAGTGAAAAGGTAGAAAACAGCAAAAAGAAGAGAAAAAGGTAGAGGAAGAAGGCACCCACCTGCACTATCTCCAGCATCTCAGCACGGCTGATGTAGCCGTTGCCGTCCAGGTCGTACATGCTGAAGGCCCACTTGAGCTTCTGCTCCAGCTTACCACGCGACGTCACGCTCAGCGCGATGATGAACTCCCGGAAGTCGATGGTGCCGTCACCGTTGGTGTCGAAGGTGCGGAAGACGTGCTCAGCGAACTTGGAGGCATCGCCATAGGGGAAGAAGTTGGCGTAGATCTTCTTGAACTCGTCCACGGTCAGATGGCCTGTGGGGCAGTCCTTCAGGAAGCCCTTATACCACTCTTGCAGCTCGTGATCCGTGAACTCCGTGTTCTCTCGGAGGTCATTCAGCACCTCTGGACGGAGCTTGCTGTTCTGCTTCCCCATCCTGCTGCCTCACCTCTCTTCTTCACTCCTTTACTCCTCTCTTTCTCCTCTGTGTTGGGTCTTTTCTTCCACTTGACTCACTTGCTAATTCCACCTGGCTCTCCTCACCAGTGCCGCTACAGATCCCAGCACTACCAATTAAGCAATAGAGGGAGAGGGAGAGTGCGATAAACACTCCAGCACAGACATGACAAGCAGTATATGTAAGAACAGCAATGGCAAAACCATTAATCAGCCCTCCTTTTTAATCAATTGATTTGATTTTCGGGCACCAGTTCAAAAACAATTCAACCTGACAAAAAGTTTTCCCTTTGGTGAAGAGTAAATTAGCTGTGCGTGGTTTATATCGGGTGGGGGGCGGCTTGAGGGACCCTTGTTTGTCGGCTCCCCCCACTGAAACCATTGCTGCACCAGAGATCTCTGGCAAACTGGCGTTTCAGATAATCCTTCAGCCAGCAATCTGAAGCCTTATCTGGGATTTAATGAAAAGGTTTCCACAAACCAGTAATCCTCTCGCAGCCGGCTCTAAACAGGTTCCAAATAAAATGTCCCTATTCAGAGAGCAAGTGAGACTTCTGGCCTCTGCGATCTTTTGAAGACTATGCTGTTTTATAGAGGTGCTTCTCAGTGTTAATACCCTGCAATAGTGCTGAGGATATCGCTACATCACCGGAATTGCAGGAATGCATCTGCTTTGAACCATTCTGGTCGCTCAGAGACATCAGTATGCAACAGGGCAATTCAGGCCCTGTGGTGAACATTTCTGTGCCATTATGAAACGATGAATAATGGTCACACCATGGGAGCCTAAGTACTGCTTTAATGTTGGACTAATTTGTCTGAAGCTCAAAATTGCAATATGGACAGAAAAATTTCCATCAAAGCTTATGTGCAAAGGGAAACCATTTGCAAATTTAATTTGGGGAAAATGTGGTGAACACAGGTGTAATGTAAAACTGTCAACCACATGCAGGAGTGTCACACACACACACACACACACACACACACACAATTCAATTTTATTTATATAGCGCTTTTAACAAGTCATTGTCACAAAGCGCTTTACATATAACCGGCCACACACACACCTTGCGTCATAGGAGGGGGGGTTACTTTAGTGTGTAACTCCACCTGTGGTGTGTAACTGGGCCAGTGCCTGGGCCAAATCTGTCCATGGAAAATGGCAGCTTGGGGGTAAATGCGTGAGCTTGATGCTTTCCTAACCCTCAAAACCACTCTTGTGCTGTTCGGCCTTCAGCTCCCTCTTTTCCTTTTTCTTGCTGCTCTTCATTAGTTATTAGTTATGAGTCACCACTGACCTCATGATGAGAGTCCGTCACAAGGAGACCCTGTTTTTTCACCAGAAGCTCCTCTAGAGTGATGTCAAGAGCATAAGCTACTCCAAGCTACGAGGTGATGAGTGAAGCAGGTCCTCACTCTCCGAGGTCAGGGGAGTTTCCAGTAGCAAGGTACCAAAGAACCTAGCAGCCATTTGACTTCTGCTTCTGGTCCCTCAGTGACAGAGAGCACTTGTCAGGTTCCTCAGTCACTCTAACCCCAGGTGGCATGGTTCTATCAGGCAGAAAGGCAGGTTGGCTGCTCCTGCAGTGCTGTGTCTATGTAACCATGGGATGAGGTCAACTTTCCATTGATATGGAATGACCCTTTTTCTGAAGACAGGAGTGAACAAATCCCACTGCAAGTTAACAAATATGACGTGTTTTAGTCATCATCAGTAGTATATCATCTGTGATTCTCTTTTTTGTACAAAGTAAAAATAATCATTTTCTGTTAACAACCTGCTGGGCAGGGCTGTGGAATCAGCGGCTCTGAGGGAATTACCGCCAGTTTGCTAACTGTTACTCAATGGGTCCCGTAAACATGAATGCCATGAGTCACTTCAGAGTCACTTTAATGTCACACCTGGTCTATCTAATGAAAGAACATCGTGCGTCATCAGTCTGGGCCATATCAGAAGCCTGGAAAGTTATTCATGGAATCAGAATGTTGTTACTAATGGAATCCAGGGAGAATTCTGGAACGTAAAGCATTCCACCATAAGCTGTGAGCCTGGACATACATGCTACATCATAACACATTCAGATAGACCGCTACGTTAATTCCCAGTTGCTTGGATGTTAAACTGTGTGGGGTCACAGCCCAAGCTTCTGCTCTACTTTAATGAAAGTGAAAGTCTGTCCTTATTTGCTGAGACGTATTTGAGTGGGACAAGAATGGATTTTGTTGTTCTCGAGATTTGTTTAGCTTACGGTGGAGCCCCAGCTGCCATGTCTTGTAGACGGAGGGTAAGAATCTTGCACAGTGCCAGATGTGGGTAATTATAAAGCCTTTATAAAAATCCCCCACTGGAGAGTGTAGGCCGAAGCAGAGAGCAGCCTGAGGCAGAGCACAGACCGGGGCAGAGCACAGACCGTGGAAGTGCACAGGCCGGGGTAGAGCGCAGATCAAGGCAGAGTGCAGACGATGGAAGAGCACAGGCCGGGGCAGAGCGCAGACCGTGGAAGAGCACAGGCCGGAGCATTGGCAGATCAAGGCAGAGTGCAGACGATGGAAGAGCACAGGCCGGGGCAGAGCGCAGACCGTGGAAGAGCACAGGCCGGAGCATTGGCAGATCAAGGTAGAGCACAGACCGTGGAAGAGCACAGGCCGGGGCAGAGCGCAGACTGTGGAAGCGGACAGGCCAGGGCAGAGCGCAGATCAAGGCAGCGCACAGACCGTGGAAGAGCACAGACCGGGGCATTGGCAGATCAAGGCAGAGCACAGACTGTGGAAGAGCACAGACCGGGGCAGAGCGCAGACTGTGGAAGAGCACAGGCCGGGGCAGAGCGCAGATCAAGGCAGAGCACAGGCCGCATACTGTGGAAGAGCACAGGCTGGGGCAGAGTTCAGATCAAGGCAAAGCATATGTTTCGCTTAGTGGAAAGGGAAAAATCAGCGATTACTGGCAGTAAGTCGTTTGCCAATGGGGAGGGAGTGGAACTTTCTGGGCTGATAATACCTGATCCATATTGACTGCACTTGACAAAATTAAGTGGTAGTGGGGAATGAAAGGAAAAAGAGAGGGATTTAGACAGCAGAAAGGAGAGACAGAGATGAGGCGCAGCCACATGTGCTCTGATCGAGGGAATGCTTGAATGGATGGGTATGAAGGCTAGGACAACTCAAGATCCATGTCATACCTGGTCACATCACTTAGAGACTGCAACATGAGCTCCTGTGTGATGGAAAGTGTTAATTAAACGTGATGCTGAGGCTTAGTAAAGGAGACAGAGACTGGGGAGGTACAGACAGCAGGAAGATGCTGGAAGTCTGGTTTAATTGGCACTTAGGGACCACCTGAATGTGAGAAACACTGCAACCTGTTGCTCACCGGAGTATCATCCATACATAAAAAGCAAGCATCTCACCGTATGCTGATGGACGGGAGACAGGGGCTGTGCGGGGAGAGCTGCGGATCACTGCTGTCCATTACAGCTTCCTAACAGGTCCTCGGGGGCTGGGTTGAACTCAACCCATGGGTGTGGTCTCCATGGTTACCCCATTAATAACCTGCTTGACTGTGATCCTCATATAGTTGGAATCTGATTTGTGTTCCTCGGGTGATGTATTAAAGACACCTGCTAGTTTAGGACAGAAAAAGGCTGCAGAGCACCTGGATGGGAGCAGTCTGTCCATCCTCTGGCATCTCCCCGTCCGGCCATCCGTCTGCGTCTCTCTGCCCATCTATCCACCTGTGTCTCCCTATTCCTCTGCCTACTTCTCCTTGTCTGTTCCTTGTCCTGCCTGCATCTCCCTGTGTCTCCTTGTCCTCCTGCTTGAATATCCCTGCGTGTCTGCATATGTATGTATGATCATATTATTACTTGAACACCCGTAGACTGACCCATAGGGTGATTTTACCTTGTCTGCACTCTGTTCCAGCCACGTTCTGTTTGTGTACTGTGTTCTGCTCCCTAATTAACCTTTGCCAGTGGGAATCAAAAGCCAGGGACTTTTCCAGGCCTCTGTGGGGAAATCATATACTCTCCTCATTAGAAAAACAATTTATTGATGATAAAAACACAGAACCCCCGCTGCCACATTTAACATTCAGGCTCACCATGGAGTTATTGCTGCCATGACGCGTAAACGGAAAAAATCAGTCATGCATTCAGACTCTCAGTCCCTTCCTCCCCCTCTCTTGGTATCACTTTGCCAGATACAATTGGCCCCTTTTCTATGTCCCTCCAAGGGCTAACATGCTACCGAAAATGACACCTGGTCTCCCCTCCTACCAGTACCTGTAACTTGAGTACATATTTCACTGAAGCCATTTTTTGGCCAGGTCACATGACTGAGGGGGCCCTATAAAACACTGTATGGCCGAAAGTATACGACCACCAGCTTGTCAACACCTCATTCCTAAACCAAGGGTTTTCATATGCAGTTGGTCAGGCCATCGTGGCTATAATAGCTGCTGCTCTTCTATGACTATCTGTGAGATGTTTGAACCTTGCTGGTAGGGTTTTATGCCAGGTTGGGTATTGATGTTGGGCAATCAAGTCCCTTTCTGCGAAGTTGTGTGGTCTGTAACTTCATAGCTGAACTTGCTCCCAGACTTTTCCACTTCACTATCACTTCAGGTGCAGGTGACCAGGGCAGCTCTTGCAGAGCAAAAATGTGGCGAACTGACTGATGGTGTCCTATGATGGTGCCAAGTATAAAGTCACTAGGTTTTCTTGTACAACCACAAATCTGGCTGTAAATGTTTGTTGCTTGTTCTGTGGCTGTGTGCTTAGTTATACACCTGTACCAGTAGTGGGGGTGGGAAGGGGGGGCATGCATATGATGACAGGTGCATATGGTGACTAGTACTGTATAATGTGTACCCTCTCAGAAGGAGGGGACAAACAGACGTAGCTTTATCAGAAGAAGCGAGACAACCAACGTGTGTGGAGCACCCTTGGTGTGAGGGGGTAGGAAGTCCTCAGCAGAGCTACAGAAGGTCAGATATTTACTGGGAAGTGCCAGTGGAGATGCAGATCAGAGTCACAGGGCTGCTTTGGAAGCCCCTGTAGATCAGCAGCCCTAAGGGACTAAGATCACCTGAAAGCTGAAATCCTCTGAAAGC